AATCATCCGCGATCGTTTTGTCTGTCTCACCTCACTCTTCTTGTCAGTCAGCTCGACTCGCTCTCCTCACTGGAGAAACGAAATCTGATCTGTGATTGAGCAGCCGCGTTCAGTTTTTAATTGTAGTGTCTGTTCTTTTACTGAACTAAATGATTTTTATTACTATAAAAAATCAAAACGACGGTGGGGGTCGGTGACGCGGTGGGCAAGTGACGTAACCGGTGTTGCGGCTTAACACCGTCAGCACCGTCTATCGCGGCAAGCCTAATATAGATGAAACATGAAATTGATTTAGCTTTTATTTATGTATATATTTGATATTTGTGCATTTGCTTTAAAGTTTATTTTCTTTTTCGTAGGAATTTATATTAGTGCTGTCAGAGTTAGAGTGTTAACTCAGGTGAGTTTAACGGTTTCCAGTTTAATGGCGTTAAAGGGATAGTTCACCCCAAAGTGAAAATTCTGTCATTAATTACTCACCCTCATGTCGTTCCAAACCCGTAAGGCCTTCGTTCTTCTTTGGGAGCACAAATTTAGATATTTAGATATCCAAGAGCTCTCTGACCCTTCAAGCTTCAACTGAAGTGTTTGAGTTCTGGAGTTCCGCGATGCATATATATATATATATATACTGTATATATATTTTGATTTACATGGAGAGGAAAAAAAGGACACTTATTTTGATATTCTGACTGGTAACTGACCTCAGATCATCGGAGGAGCTGTGAAAGAGCAGACGCGAATCTCCCGTTCTTCTTACATTATCCTGTTTTACAGGTAAATGCAAAGGGACTAAAAGAGAAACTTATATCTATAATACAGTGGTTGCATTATTACAACGGTTTCCAGTTTAATGACGTTAAAGGGATAGTTCACCCCAAAATGAAAATTCTGTCATTAATTACTCACCCTCATGTCGTTCCAAAACCGTAAGGCCTTCGTTCTTCTTTGGGAGCACAAATTTAGATATTTAGATATCCAAGAGCTCTCTGACCCTTCAAGCTTCAACTGAAGTGTTTGAGTTCTGGAGTTCCGCGATGCTGTGATGGTAAGCGTATGAGCACAAGGTGGACTGCTCTAACACGGCGAAAGGCGACAGCAAGCAAGCAAATCTGTTCTGCATTGGGTTTTTAATCCACTGCATAAGTCCGTCCCACGACGCGACCTTCCAATCGACTTGTTGCAGGGCGGAGCATGCATACATTAACAAGAGGCTCCAATTTATGATGTGGAGAAATGAAGATTTGCAGGTTTTGTTAATAACTTCTATATAGTGTCGTACAACACATACTGTTTGAAATAACAGCTTTTCACTTATTTCAATATTCTGCAATTATCACAAGTTTACGTTCAATACTAAACTTCACATATCTTACACACATATTAATAACCTCATTTCCTAAAAAGGGTAATAAACACTGATTAAAGTTGCACCGATTACATGAACACATCAAGCATATATATATAAGACATACACCATATTATTTGTGAATCTATTGCTCCGATACTTTCAAATGATTGTCGTATGAATCGTCTTTGTCTGTGACAGGAGAAACGCACGCTTTTCTGGAAAGTGGTAAAAGAATGCGTCCCCTTTTGGAATGCAGGGGGAAAAGGGGAGGTGTCCTGAGGTCATGCCCATGTCAAGCGAGTGTGGATCTGCCATCCTTCTGCTGGACAGGGAGCTCTAAAATTGTCTCTCTTGTTGATCGGATTTAGCAATTTATGTGTTAAATGGTCAGGGGTATCACACATCTGGTCCTTGAAAGCCCGTAAAACAAAGATAGTTTGTATCCTAGTTTGAGTTAGGATTAAGCACTGTCTTTTATTTGAGCCTCTTGAGAGATACGCTAAATAGGACAAGAACTGCTTCAACCCTTCACTGACCCTGCATGAGTTTTACGACCGCAGCTGGTTGCAGAGGAGTGCCTCAGTTTGTCTTAATGGAATGTGGTTGTTTCAGGTGTGACTCAATCGTGTAAATGTCTCCGTTCAAAGACAGAGATCCTACACATGCCTGCCCTCTACTAAAGATTTTTCTAGTCAACTAGTCGCATGTTATATTAAATTGATTAATATAATAATAATATATTAACCATACTTCAATATAGGCTATAGGCAGACGTATT